GGAGGTTCGCGAGACGGGAGCCTTCACGTCGACTTCGGCTCCGTCCTGGCTTGCCCTTCACGACGAAGGCTCAATATACACGAGTCAAGGCAATCCATAGATCAACGACATGCATCTTGACAGTGCAGCCCCGTGAGTGCAGGCATCGTCTGAAGGCTTGCGAGACGGGAGCCCTCACGTCTTCTTCGGCTCAGTCCTGACTCGCCCTTCACCACGATAGCCCGATTTGCACAAGATCACGAAGAATGACAGCCCGACAAGTGACAAATATTCGTTGTGCGATCCTTCTGCGATGAATGCCGAGTTGACTCCGACTTCGCCTCGTGACATGGCCGGACAGTGATCTTTCCCGTTACCCACACTGGACCGGATCATGAACGCCCTCTACGAAAGGCGGAGCACCGAACGACAAACTCGAAGTGCTTTCAGCCAGGAGCTGTTGGCTCGAATGCACTTAGAGAGATGAAATAATTATTGCAGGTTACCTTAACATTGGTTGCGCAAACGAGCACCTTTAACAACTTGCTTTAGGAGACGGCTAGTATCGTTAACTGAGTGGTATATTACCGTATATACTCGCCTAATGATCGCACTCGCATAATGATCGCACCCTGAACTTGCAGCATCGACATATCATGTCCCAAGTCTAGCTGAACGTGCCTATCATTGTTTCCGTGATCTAAAACTAGGCATCACTATGCTAATGCCGTAAATTTACTGATTTGAGTTAAAGCATTCCTTATTTAGATGGAAGAAACTGTTTTGACGCGCGTGCCATACTCACAATCGCCATAACTGACGCAAAGAAGCGAAAAAATATGGTGGCTTCGCTCCACGGATTGCACGGAGGGAGGAAAGGTACGAGAGGGCATGCCCAGCCGGCGCGCGGCGTGAAAAGTGTGGAAGAAATGACATCAGGGCGGCCATATTCACTGGGCACAATGGCGACGTTGCTATGGTTACGTATCGCGCGTTGGAGCTGGTCTAGCAGCGGCCGCGGCTGGCTCTGGCATGTGTGCCTCCCCAGGTCTCGTGCTGAGCCGTGGCGGACAATATCCGCGCTCTGCGCCACGTTTTTGTTTACGCAGTGTTCTCCTGGGAGGTATACTGTACTCTTAACAACGTTTACAAATTCTTTTGTCCATCACGGGGTTTCAACAGTAGAACGAGTGCATATTCATGAGTCGTGCGGCGGATTGCGTGGATGAAGCAATAAGTGTTCAGCGAAACTACGTTGGGCACCATGACAAAGCGGAACAACGACGAACGCTTTGCAAGTCAGTGACGGTTGGGCAGTGCCCCTGCTTGTGAGATCGGACGACGCTATTGAGCCCAGCAAGACGCAATGAGGACCATTTCCACATACGTACGTAGTTTCTTGTTGTGTGTGTACAGTAACAACTTGCATGTGCGTATTTAAACACCTTTTCTGTACCGCTTCGTATACTTTCCCCTCGCATTGCACGTAATCTCAACGTAACAGCAACCGAGTTCAACTGTCACTAGCACGTATCATGCTCAAAGTCACCACGGTCGCAGAATGCTGACGCCGGTGAGTTTCACGCAGAACACAGACACAGTGGCCGGACGCTGCGTCGGCCGCTTGGCGGAATGCAACCGTAGAAGGCGCACGACCGATCGTGTTGTTTGTGCAGTTGCTGAATTAATGACGTGGAAGCACTCGCCGTTGTCAGTGCATCTAGCGCACGTTCTCGTGCACTTGCTTCGTTGTCGGTGAGCTGTTACTTGCTTTAAATACTCGGACGAAATCATTTCGCTGAAGGTGTCGCGCTGGCCTAGAGTTTTCAGCCCCGAGCTTCATCGATTTACACGTCCCGGGCGGCTCCGGACGGTAGGTATAGCGCGAGAACAACACGATGACACAGAGACAAGAAGGACACGAAAGACACGAGCGTTCGTGTCTTTCGTGTCCTTCTTGTCTCTCTGTCGTCGTTTTGTTCTCGCGCTATAAATATCGTCATGCCATACCAACTAGCCCAAGCTGCCACACTTCTACGCCCCGGACGCCGGTGCACGAAAGACACGAACGCTCGTGTCTTTCGTGTCCTTCTTGTCTCTGTGTCGTCGTTTTGTTTTCGCGCTGTGAATATCGTCATGCCATACCAACCAGCCCAAGCTGCCACACTTCTAGGCTCCGGACGGCCCCGGACGCTGGCGCACGAAAGACACGAACGCTCGTGTCTTTCGTGTCCTTCTTGTCTCTGTGTCGTCGTTTTGTTTTCGCGCTGTAAATATCGTCATGCCATACAAACCAGTCCAAGCTGCCACAATTCTAGGCTCCGGACGGCCCCGGACGGCGGCGCCGCATTCGTTTTTTCTCGGGGACCAACTGGAAGCTCCGCCCACAGGTCCTGGATCTCTCGGACGCATGTTCGTTTTTTGCGTGCCTGGCGGCCTGCGGGTGGCCCCGGGACCGCCCGATTAAGTTCTTTCGGGCAGCTGGCAGACGACAGCGTGGTGCGCATACTGTGCGGCCATCTTAAGTTAGACACGGGAAATTTTCGATGCGCTCTTGCTCTCTCTTTGCTTTTCTCTCCGCTTCTCGCATGTTTCTGAATTTCGCATTGTTTGCGCACCCAGTTCTTGTCATCAGTGTTCTGAGCCACGTCGAGCATGTGCGTAATCCCGAAGGTCGGGCAAACACGCGTTATACTCGCTAGGAGAAACAGCGGTAGAACGACCGCGCCGGTCTGCGATGCACACGCGCTCGAGTAGTTCACTTACAGTAAGTTGCTTCCCAACAGAAATAGGTATAATTCTCTACCTAACTGCTGTTTAGGTTGGAATTGGGTCAGCGTTGTGGTCTGACTGTCACAGCTATGGAGGGAGCAGACGGCATAGGCTGGCATAGCAGACGCCACAGCGGATGCAGTCAGCATCAAGCGCGCAGCTGGCCCGAGGCCGCTCGGGCTGGCTCGGGACTTTTAGATCACATGCATTTGACGTAGCCGCCCGTGAGCCGAGGCGTCCGCAGGCCATCCGCGAGTGATCCGGGACTCGGTAAATCGATGAAGCTCCCCGTTCCATTCATCATCATCATCATCATCATCATCATCAGCTGACTACGTCCACTGCAGGACAAAGGCCTCTCCCATGTTCCGCCAGTTAACCCGGTCCTGTGCTTGCTGCTGCCAATTTATACCCGCAAACTTCTTAATCTCATCTGCCCACCTAACCTTCTGTCTCCCCCCTAACCCGCTTCCCTTCTCAGGGAATCCAGTCAGTTACCCTTAATGACCAGCGGTTATCCTGTCTACGCGCTACATGCCCTGCCCATGTCCATTTCTTCATCTTGATTTCAGCTATGATATCCTAACCCCCATTTGTTCCCTAATCCACTCTGCTCTCTTCTTGTCTCTTAAGGTTACACCTACCATTTTTCTTTGCATTGCTCGCTGCGTCGTCCTCAATTTAAGCTGAACCCTCTTTGTAAGTCTCCAGGTTTCTGCTCCGTGCTAAGTACCGGCAAGATACAGCTGTTATATACCTTCCTCTTGAGGGATAGTGGCAATCTACCTGTCATAATTTGAGAGTGCTTGCCGAATGTGCTCCACCCCATTCTTATTCTTCTAGTTACTTCAATCTCGTGGTTCGGCTCTGCGGTTATTACCTGCCCTAAGTAGACATAGTCTTTTACAACTTCAAGTGCACTATCACCTATCTTGAAGCGCTGCTCCTTGCCGAGGTTGTTGTACATTACTTTCGTTTTCTGCAGATTAATTTTAAGACCCACCTTTCTGCTCTCCTTGTCTAACTCCGTAATCATGAGTTGCAATTCGTCCCCCGAGTTACTCAGCAATGCAATGTCATCGGCGAAGCGCAGGTTACTAAGGTATTCTCCATTGACTCTTATCCCTAACTGCTCCCATTCTAGGCTTCTGAAAACCTCGTGTAAGCACGCGGTAAATAGCATTGGGGAAATTGTGTCCCCCTGCCTTACACCCTTCTTGATTGGTATTCTGTTGCTTTCTTTATGAAGCACTATGGTAGCAGTTGATCCCCTGTAGATTTCTTCCAGAATGTTTATATATACTTCATCTACGCCCTGATTCCGCAGTGTTTGCATGACGGCTGATATTTCTACTGAATCAAACGCCTTCTCGTAATCTATGAAGGCTATGTATAGTGGTTGGTTATACTCTGAGCATTTCTCTACTACCTGATTGATAGTATGAATGTGGTCAATTGTTGAGTAGCCTGTTCGAAATCCTGCTTGTTCCTTTGGTTGATTGAATTCTAATGTTTTCTTTACTCTGTTAGCAATTACCCTTGTAAATAGCTTGTATACTACAGAGAGCAAGCTGATCGGCCTGTAATTCTTCAAGTCCTTGTCATCTCCTTTCTTATGTATTAATATGATGTTAGCGTTCTTCCAAGACTCTGGTACTCTTCCCGTCAGGAGACACCTCGTAAACAGGGTGGCTAGTTTTTCTAACACAATCTGTCCTCCATCTTTCAGCAAATCTGATGTTCCATTAGTTTCGGACAACGCCTCCTAGATTTCTTGTGCCTGCCGGATGAGGGCGAAACGCCGGTCATCTATAGCAGCGCTGCATACGTCTGGGTAAGGGTCTTTTTACTCGGCCTTTGAGATCGGCAATTTGGGCGTTTGTGACTAATTTTAGAAAATGCCTTGTATTCAAAAAGTTGCTTGTTGAATTATCGCTTACGTGAAGTTAATTATGATAACGTTAACGCTTTTTTGAAAATTTTTACGTTATTTTTGTTGCATTTAAGCTCCAAAAACGTAAAAACCTATTTGAAGACACCCCTACTTGAGTGGCGCCACCACCGTAGTTCCGACGACCGCCGCTTTCCAAGTGACCGCCAATAATCCGGCAGGCACAAGAAATCAAGGAGGCGTTTGTTTTGGATCGTCGCAGCTCACGCGCTTTCCGAGCTGGAGAGAGAGTCGTGCCTTCTGCTTTACATGCGGATGTAAACAAGAGAGGAGAACTTGACCAGTCAATATGGCCGTCTTCCGGCTTCATCGCGGCTTGAAAACAAGTGACGTCTGGGCTAAGGGAGGAAGGTTCGTGTCTGAGCCTCTCCTACTTTTTTTTTTTCCTCCGTGTGTTCTGTGGTGTCACCTCCATGGATCTGGGCGAACTTTTGAATGTGCTATCTTCGTGTTGTTCAAGGTTTGAGTGGTGACTTTGGTCGTGACAGCTGCGCAATGTTAGTAATGTGAAGCCGCGACATATTCTAGGTGAAACGCGCGTAATAATGGCCTTTTCTATACTTCATAGCCTCCTAACTAGAGGAGGCGTTGGTGCAATGGACGGCATTCTGACACAGACTAGTGCATCGACGGATGTAAAACCGAGTGTTGAAGACTTGGTGGACCAAAATCATTATGCGAACGAAGTTGCGGTAGACATGAAGCCTTCTGTTGATCACGGACATTATGCGAACGATGTTACGACGGACGTTAAGCCGAACATTGAGCATGAGCATGATGCGAATGAATTTACGTCGGACGTGAAGCCGAGTGTTGATCACGAACATTATGCGAAGGAAGTTACGGTGGACTTGAAGCCGTTAGTTGATCACGGACATTATTCGAATGAAGTTATGACATTGGTGGACAACAAGCCGAGTGATGATCATGGGCTCCATGGGAATGAAGTTACGGAGGACGTGGATCCGTCTCTTGATCACGGACACTATGCCAATGAAGTTACAGTGGACTTGAAGCCGATTGTTGATCACAGGCATAATGCGAATGAAGTTATGGCATTGGTGGACGAAAAGGCGAGTGTTGATGATGGACATGAATTGAGTACAGTTACTCTCTGTGAAGGTAACGTACACCTTATTTGGTTATCTTTGGCATGAATATAATAAACCGAGGAGTTCCTCTTTGTTTTCATCTGCTCGGTTATATAGAGACTTGTACTTGAAACACTAATAATTAGTTTGATGGGTTAGTGTGCGAACGTGCGTTCTAGATCGGCGGCAGTGGTCGCATTTTGGTGTAGGCGAAATACTAAAAGCGAATATCTATTTAGACATAGTTCCTCGGTGTAGGGGTGTAGCTAGTGTGAATGTCCTAAGCTATTCTGAATGTTCTGAGCTACTCTGAATTTCGTGAGCCGCGTAAAACTAAATATTATATTCTTTACAGAGACACATTTTCCTATTTTGGTGTACTGATATTCAAATTTGGTGATACTTGCATCGATTAAGTATATGTGCATAGACAGACGGCAACTTGTATGAGGCATGTTCTGAATCAATGTACTGGTGTGGTAAAGTAACACATTCGCAATGGTGAAGGTTATCGGATACACTCATTTATAAGTGCAGCAACTCTTGTTATTTTGCTGCTCAAGTATAGTTATATGTATGTTGTGGGATCTACGATTTGCATTGCCTTGCTGTGCTTCCTGTGGCTATGCAGGTTCCATTTCTGCGGAATCCCGTGACCAGTACCATTTGCTTGTGTCAGTAGAAGATGGACTGCATTCCTGCCGGCAGTGTGCATATACAACCAGGATTAAGGCGAACATGAAAGTACACCTTCGCCGACACACAGGGGAGCATCCCTTCCAGTGTCACCTTTGCCCGGCTACTTTCACTGTGAAGTTCCGTCTCACACAGCACATTCGCACCCATACCGGGGAGCGTCCTTTCTCCTGCACCCAGTGCAATTGGTCCTTTTCACTGAAACGAAGCCTGACGGAACACTTGCGCACCCACACAGGAGAACGTCCCTTTTGCTGTGTTCACTGCAGTAAATCCTTTTCAAAAAAACGTAACCTGAAGCAGCACATGTGCACCCACACAGGAGAGCGTCCTTTCTCCTGTCTCTTCTGCAATGCATCATTTTCACGAAAGCCTGACCTCAGGGGACACCTACGCACCCACACTGGAGAGCGCCCATTTTCCTGTGACCAATGTGACGCAGCTTTTGGGCTGAGCCACGCCCTCAAGCAGCACATGCGCACCCACACCGGCGAACGTCCTTTTTCCTGTGGCCGCTGTGATGCCTCTTTTTCCCATAGAAGCAACCTCAAGATACACATGCGAACCCACACAGGAGAGCGCCCTTACTCATGTGTTCATTGTGGTGCATCCTTTAAACAGAAAACCAGCCTCGAAGACCACATACATTCCCACACAGGAGAGCGTCCATATTCCTGTAGCCATTGCAATGCAACTTTTTCACGGAGAAGTGTTCTCCGTCGCCACATCTCCGGACTTCATCCCAATGAAGCCCAGAAGGGCAGGGGTGCCAGTATTTCTAATGTAGAGGTTACACAACTGAATAATTCTGCTAAAAGGTGATCTTTTATGAAACCCTTTAATGAAGTGTGTCACGAATTTGGGATATACCGGAAAACTCTGACCAAGCAAGTCACGAAATGTGTGCCGCCTTTAATGCCGGTTGTGAAGTACTCACAAGGAAGGTAGCTTTTAGCAGGAAAAATCTAGCACAGCCTCGTGCAAAGAATGTAATGCTTAAATTAGGTGTTATTTGGCTGATAGTGGAAAGCATGGTGCATGGGCAATATCTCTCACTTCATTTTTTCTCGCCTGAGTGACGCAAGTTCAGTCTTGTTATTTTGTGTGCGGTGTGTGTATTTTTTGTGTGTATGCATGCCAGCATGTCGCGAATTCATGTCATGAATTTGCGACATGCCTAAAAGTATGCATTAAAGTTGAGTTTTAGATGATTTAGCTGCAAAATGAATGCAAGGTTGCTATCCAGAGCTGAAAATAAGCAAACAACTTTTTCTGTGGCAGTGTCATAATTCAGGAATTAAAAGGCTAAGGTGCCTCGAAAAGTTTTTATATTCCTTGGCTGTTGAGTATAGAGAAAAGTGATTATCCGTAGGAATTTATCAAGTGTCTTCAGATGACATTCCTGCCTCCATTCAAAATGCGGCCATCACTGCCCAGATTTGATTCCGCAACCTTTGGTCGAGCACTATAACTGCTGGGACATCATGGCGGGTCGAGTTTCCTTCAGTAATGAGAAGTATAGAGTTTAATCAAAAAGGCAATTCTACATTTGTTTAGATCACCTTCTCTTGCAGAGTTTTTTCTGTTACATTTGATTGCTACTTCAATCCAAGAAATAAAATTAGAAAGTCTGGATTTGCCTGTGCATAACTCATTATTAAATATAAGTATTTTAAGTATTTATTTTTTAAAGTACTTTAAGAATTTTTAAAGTATTTTAAGTAAATTAAGTATTTTAAGTATTTTATAAGAATGAAGTCGACAAAATTATTACTAAAGACGTCATAGAACCATCATCTAGCCCCTGAGCCTCCTCGTCGTGCACGTTGTAAAGAAGGATGGCAGCTGGCGCTTTTGCGTGGACTTTCACCATTTAAACAATGTCACTTATGAAGATGTCTACCCTTTGCCTCGGATTGATGACGCCCTCGATTGCCTCCATGGCGCCCAATACTTTTTGTCTATCGACCTTCGATCCGGCTATTGGCAAATTTCCGTTGACCCCATGGATCGTGAAAAAACCGCTTTTGTCATGCTTGACGACCTCTACCAGTTCAAAGTGATGCTGTTCGGACTATGTAATGCGCTGGCAACATTTGAGAGCATGATGGATTCTTTTCTTTAAGGATATAAGTGCTCCATCTGCTTATGTTACTTAGACGATGTCATCATCTTTTCAACTAAATTTGACAGCCAAATGACACGTCTACCATTCGTTTTGGATGTTTTTTGAAGAGCCGCTCTCGAGCTCAATTCTGCAAAATGCCTTTCGAGCATCGCCAAATCACCATACTCTGCCACCTTGTCAGTACCGCTGGTGTTCAACCAGATCCCAACTAGGTGGGAGCAGTACAAGAATTTCCTGAACCATGTTCAACTAAGGAAATCCAAAGTTTTGTAGGGCTGTGTTCCTATTTCCTCGATTTGTCCGCAACTTCGCCGACATCGCTCGACCGCTTACTGATCTCTTAAAGAAGGACGTTCCCTTCGCATGGGGCATACAGCAAGCGGACGTCTTTTCGGCTCTTACCCATCTGCTGACTAAGCCACCAATACTCGCCCATTTCGACCCTGCATCACCTACAGAGCTTCCGACCGATAACAGTGGCCATGGAATTGGGGCGGTCCTCGGCTAACGACAGCACTGGAAGGACCGCATAATTGCTTACGCCAGTCTTCTTCTTTCACCTGCCGAACACAAGTTCTCCATCACTGGGCGTGAAGACCTATAGCTTTAGTGTGGGCCGTGACAAAATTCAGGCCTTACCTGTATGGCCGAACTTTTTCCGTTGTTACTGACCATCATGCTGGCTCTCATCGCTAAAGGACCCGTCTGGACGTCACGGCCGCTGGGTGCTGCGCCTGCAAGAATACTCGTTCGTGGTCCACTACAAGTCGGGACGCCTGCACACAGACGCAGACTGTTTGTCACGTCATCCGGTTGAAACGCCCGACTTGACAGACCTTGAATCGGACCCCTGCGTGCTCTCCATCCACGCTTTGTGTGATATCTCCACCAAACAACGACGTGACCCATCGTTACTCTCCATCATCGAGCGTCTGACCTCTGCTCCAACAGACCCTTCTGTTCACCTGTTCGAACTGCACAACATTCTGTACCGTTGCAGCTTCAACGCCGATGGCCCGGAATTACTACTCGTGCATCGATCTGAGTACCAGCGTTCTCTAACAACTACACGACGTACCTACAGCCGGTCACCTAGGCGTCTCTCGTACCTAGGATCGTGTGCGACGTCGCTTTTTCTGGGCTGTACTGTATCGTTCTGTGGTTCGCTACGTCACTGCTTGCGACCGCTGCAAGCGCCCCTCTGTGCTACCGTCTGGCCACCTACAGCCCATTGACATAACGATGGAACCATTCTTCCGTGTTGACCTTGAACTGTTGGGCCCGTTTCCTACGTCCACCTCCGGAAATAAATGGGTTGCAGTTGCCACAAATTACGCCACACGCTTTGCCATCACTAAAGCAGTGCCGACAAGCTTTTCCACCGACGTCGCTGACTTTCTCTTGTATGAAGTCATTCTTCATCACGACGCTCCGCGGCAGCAGCTTACTGATCGAAGAAGGTACTTCCTTTCATGTGTTGTGGATGACATTCTCTGCGCCTGCTCCACTGAGCACAATAAGCTTACCAACGCTTATCATCCACAGACAAATCGATTGACCAAGCGTCTGAACCGAACGCTGACGCAGCTGCTGTCAATGTACGTTTCACCAGATCACCGTGACTCGGACAAAGCACTCCTGTTTGTCACCTTTGCGCACAAGTATTTACAGCACTGCAGAGCTAGTTATTCACTGTTTTATTTGCTATTTGGCCGACATTCAGCGTTACCATTTGACGGCTGCCCCCTTGTCTACTGAGTACGTCAGCGATGTCGTTCCTTGAGCCCATGCAGCCCGCCAGCTTGCACATGATCAGCTGCACTTATCAAAAGAGCACCAAAAAGACCATTATGACCGTTGCCACCAAAGCATGCACTTCTCGCAGGGGTCTCTGGAACTTCTCTGGACACCAAACCACCAAGTCGACTTATCAGAGAAGCTACTACCACACTACCATGGCCCCTACAAAGTGTTACGACAACTCAGTGACGTGAGCTACAAGATCACACCCCTAAACAATGCCTCTTTGACCCCCTCACTCCAGACGGACGTTGTCCACGTTTCCAGACTCAAACCGTATCACCCTGCTAGTTCGTCGCCGCCGTACCAAGCGTTGTGACGGCGCTTCCACCACGGGAGAGTGATGTTACAGTGCATCATTGACAGGAGCAAGTGTGGCACTTTGTGAAGATGACGAAGGCGCCTGTGCGTTAGGCGCTTGCGCGAAAGGCAACTCTGCCATCTTGTTTGGCTGCCGATTTTCTATGGACGTTATACTATAAGCCTAGATCTCGCCCCATCACAATATGAACACTAATCTTCGTGAAACGCCAAATGTGGTTACAGTGCTGCCTACCCAGTTTTATAAACATCACATATGTACTCCTTTGATAGAGCAGTCACGTCGAGTTAACGTCGATTGTGGTTAGTTACCTTGCACTGAAGTTGATTTATGTAGCACTGTCTAGGGCCAGCATCCTTGCGAGCATCAGCGATTTGAAGAATGTTTGAAGCGTGTGTTGCTAATACGTATGTTCCTGTTGGCATCGTTGCACAAGTGCGAACAACTGTTTATATAAACATCTGCAACTCTTTAATGTATGTCTGTGCGTGTAACATTTGTACGTATTCTAGCGCCATTTCATAAAGTGTCGCTGAATAAAAAAGTTGCAACACGGTCACTTTCCCTCTGCATGTTTTGCATAAAGTTGATTCCCAAGTACGTGGGATCTGCCGAATTTTTTCTCTCTCTCTCTTTTTTTATGATAACGATTCCGCAACACTACACTGCCAACAGGAGAGGCCCTGGTGTATGGGGTATACCATACATTGTTACATACATTGTGTTGCCATTGTTAAGAAAAAGGACCCGTGGTCGCGATTCTAAACCACGATGTTTACTTTGTCAGGGCTAGCTCCGACTGCTTACTTCGTCCCTCTCCTTCTCTCAATCTCTCGCACCTCCCCCCAAACCCCTGCTCCACTTCTTTATTTTTAACAGCCATCATTAAAATGACACACGTATGTACACTCTCGTCATTTACGAAAGGAAACATGTGAGCGCGTGGCCTGCACTTTGTGGTGGCTGCCTACAAGACCATCAGCACTTTGCGGCCATCATCAACCGACAGCAAAGGAAAAGACGTCGGCTTTTGGCGTCACATAGAAACCTCCTTGAATTAGATCATACAGTTTCTCACAAAATTATTGTTAAATGTCACCGGTTGATGGTGATGTGGTGCCGTTTCTATTATAATAGGTCACCGCGCGTGTATGAAACTCTATGCCGCAGGTATGAGAGACCAGCGCTGGATAGGTTGGATGGATGGATGGATGGATGGATTGATACGGCTGTACCCTTTAAATTGGGCGGCGGCTAACCTCTCCTAGCTTTACTGCTTAGTGAACCAAAAACTAGGTTTATCTTTTTTTTCTTTTAAATGGTGAAGTTGAGGACTGGTAGTTTGCAGTGAAGGGTTTAATTTTCACTCGTGCCTTGACTTTAGCCACCAATCAGATAACCTCCTTCTAGTTAATTCAACCCGCTTATAGTCTATTTTGCCCTCCCTGTCCTTAAACACCAGTGCGTTGAAAAACTCTGCGCGCCATCATCCTGAACTATAGGGTGAAGCCCCTTACAGAACATTATCAAGTGTTCAACAGTTTCCTCCTCCTCTCCACATGCACTGCATACCGTGTCTACCCTTTGTGATTGGGCTGATAAGTCTTGGTTCGCAATACTCCAGCCCTGGCCTAAACAGTGGAGAACTACCCCGAGTATTATCATAGACCCTTTCCTTGGCAATTTCCTGCGTAAAAGTGTGAAAGATCTCTAGTGCATACTTCTTAATCGTGCCTATTCTCCACATATCGGTCTCGGCTTACTTCACCTTCTTCTTAACCTATAATTCTTTTTGGTTTGGCCCCCTGCTGTTTTCTAAGTATTTACCAATCAATTTTTTGGTTCGCTTCCTCCATTTGGTATCGACATTCTTCATGTACAAGTAGCTGAAAACTTTCCTAGCCCAATGCTCCTCCCCCTTTTCTCTCAATGACTTTTGAAATTTTATCTTGCTGCTAGCTTCCCTGCCCTCAAATAATGTCCATCCCATATAACCTTGTACTCCCTGATTTGGCATATTCTCGTGAGCTCCTAAAGCAAGCCTACCTATTCCACGTTGCTTAATTTCTAATCTTGCTTGAACTTCTGATCTCACGGACAAGACCGCATTGCCGAACGTCAGACCAGGAACCATGACACCTTTCCATATTCCTCTCACAACATCATACCTATTGTAATTCCAGAGTGCCCTATCTTTCATTACTGTTGCATTCCTGTTACCTTTAGTCGTTACGTTTTTTTCAAGTTCCCTTAGGTACTCGGTCCCATTGCTTATCCATACGCTCAGATATTTGTATTTATCGGTTATCGCTGTGCACGAGACCTCCTGTGTCCTAAGCTCGCTGCCTTCATTATCATTAAAAATCATGACTGCTGATTTTTCCTTACTGAATCTGTAATCTAAGGTGGCCCACCGAAAAAGAGCACCTGGGGGCCGAGTCGCGACACAAGTCAGCTGCTGGCGCTGAGACGACCGGCCGCAGTGTACCATCAAAAGGTAACACTCTGAGACCACGTGCGCGTGCTGCTGCCGTGCTTCATTTTGGAACGAACACCTCGAAAAGCCACTGCGCCCGTAATACTGCATTGTGGTTTAGAAAAATAACTTTGTCCTAAAGCTACTCTAACATAAAAAGCACTAAACACAGAGAGAAGCCCTGCAAAGCAGACTGCGTCTATGCATATATAGTATCAAAGGAACAGTTCTCTGCCGTGATGGCAGCTCCCTCGTCCTCATTTTCTGGTTGTGTGCTTTGTTTTGGGCTAATCTAGTGCTGGCAAACATGCCCTCATTAATAAATTAAGTCCGTGCTGCGACTATACCATGTTGCCAACATCTGCAGTAAAACAAAACAAAAGCAGAGTAGGTGGTAGCTGCGTCTTTTTTTTTTTCCTGGTCTCGTTTTTACGCCCTGTCTGCAGTATTTATGCACGGGGATGTTGATCCAGCACACCACCATGACAGCATAGCACGTGTGGTGTCACGCTGCTATTCTTGAGGGAGCGGGATAGATGAGCGTGACCACTGCAGTTGCACTTCGACGGGGGTGAAATATAAAAAGAGCAACCGAGAACCCAGATATATGTGCGCATTGGAGAACCCCAAGCGGTCACAATTTTGATACGCATCCTATACAGCGTACCTCAAAATGATATTTTGTTTGGCACATGAGAGCCTACCAGTTATCGATGTTGAACAGACAGCGTCATTTTAGGCCGACACAGGCAAGCAGAAAAACTGAAACTGTGTGTTAGGCGAACTAAACAACGAGTAAGAATCGAAGACATTTGATACTTCTCTAGCAAGGCATATATTTTGATGTTACTTAGCCACGTCAGCCAAAAAACGCTTAGCGCATCTGCTGTCTCCACAAAGCTAAGCTTCAAATAGTCCGCTGCTTTGTTCGTATCAAGAACTCGGTGTTTTGCACAAATTAAGTTAAGCAGAGGCATCTTGGCATCGAGTGCTCACCGCGAGCACAGGCGTAGCTGAACGTGACCCCGCACAAGTATTGTGGACAAAGCAACTTTACTTTACACGCAACAGTTCACACACAAAACAAGAGGACTACTTGCCTATTGTATGATTCACTTCACGCGGTGGCATCAGATGGAGTTTGGTGGTGATGGTCAGATGGAGGGACGCATGGTAACTGTTAGTCCTGAAGTGCATGTCTCAATGCTCAGCGGGCCTCATAAAAAAAAAAGTTTACATTAGCCGCCTGTTCCATAATACGCTCGTTTTCTTTGTTTCTGGCAAAACGCCTTTAAACTTGAATGTTTGGCCTTGGTTTTCACTGGTGGCTGTCTCCACTATCAAATAAACAAAGCAGACACGCGCCATTCGGTTTGAAAACGAGCCTTACAGCACTTGACAGAAGAGAGAGAGCATAATTTTGCTCACCTGACCGCTTGAACACAATGCCGCCTCCTCTTGTTACGTCCTCCATTTTCTTTATACGTCCTCCCTGCTTTTATACACTGTTGCACTTGAATACGCAGCACGCCACCGCCCTTAAGTTTTGTTACGGCAATGCGCGCACGAACCGCCTCTGCCAGCCGCCACTCTCGTCTCCAGGAGCAGCTGAGAAGTGCTCGCTCTCACCGCCGGGGCGGTCGTGCAAACTCCAGTGCTAACGAGCCTAGAGCAGAGGTTTAAAACTACAGCTCAAGGGGCTAGGCTAGAAAAAGAAGAAGCTATTGAATATATAAAAACAAGAGTGTCAGAAAAATTTCAACAAAGAAGTGCTTTATGCACCACAATAGACAGTGATGAATCAAGCGGCGCAAAGGCTCCATTTTCACAACAAGAGTGGGAAAGAGCTGAGAAGAGGTTTTCTAGCAGTACATCAACAGGCCCAGTTGGCATTCCAATTATGCTTATAACGACATTAGATCCGAAGTCTAAGCAGGCTTCGAGAGAGGCAGTGAGCAAAATAATAATCGATGGTGAAGTCCCCAAACTTAGCAGGATGAGCATGATCTATAAAGGAAAGCGGGACAAAGCTGACATAAACAACTACCATCCTATAACAGTGACATCAGTGGTCTACAGGCTAGCGATGCAGATTATGAAGGAAAGATTGCAGGCATGGATAGAGAATAAGGAGGTGCTGGGGGAACAGCAGAAAGGGTTTCGGAAACACAGGATGTTGGAAGACAATCTGTTCTCACTGACGCAGTGTATCGAAATAGCAGAAAAGGAACAGAGGCCCCTGTGGCTAGCATTTTTGGATATCAAGATAGCCTTCTTGCTTAGTTCGTATTCTCCGAGTCTCTCGCGCCTCTTCACAAGCCCCTGTACCACTTCTTTATTTTCAACAGCCATCATTGAAATGACACACACATGTACAATGTCTTCCTTTATGAAAGGGAACACGTGAGCGCTTGGCCTGCATTCTCTGGCGATGCCTACAGGACCATCAGACAACACCTAGTACTTTGCGACAATCAACAGACCGCAAAAGAAAAGACGTAGGCTTTTGGTGTCAGATATGGTTCTAGGGGCCCTAATGAAATCAAGGAAATTAATGTTTATAAAAACCTGCTTGAGTAAAATCAAATAGTTTCTCACAAAATGATGTTATGTCACTGGTTGATGATGATGTGGTGCGTGTGTATGAAACTCATGCCGCGTGTATAGTGGCTTAGCATTAATAAATATACAGGCAAAAAATATCCCTAGCTAAAGGCAAAAGAAAAAAAAACGATTGAGGAGGATGTGTGAGACGACCTACTACATGAAAAAAAAAAAAAAAAGGTGGGTGGGGATCCGTGCGGTCTAGCTCTCATCTTTCAAGCGCCGCTCACGGCCGCCTGCCCGCCCGGTCAACTGGTTGGTGTTCTGTGGCCCGGTCCAGGTGGCCGTGGGCCGTAGACAAGCACTGCAAGATACTGTAGAGAGCCGTTGAAGAGAGAACGACAGGGTACATCATTTAACAAAGCAATTGATTAAGTTTGATGGTTCACACAGAGTCACATACGTGTCCTTGAGCGTGAACAACACCTGTACCACGTTACGCGTTAACGATGCTTGTAGATCATTATGACATGTTGAGCACTTGATATGATTGCTGTTAAGTAACGAACAAAATACTACTCATTAAACTAATCCTATGATGTACACAAAGCACTTTCAGTTTCGGTTTAGTAATTGACCCGTGGTCTCTTTGCGTGTATCTATTCCACAAAAGTGTATACACATAATCTCTGTTCACCAAAATGACAAGAATTCAACATAAGCAAACACCAAAAACGACATTTTTAGAAAAAAAATTCTTTCGTTTAGTTGGCTTGATACGTGAAAACCCAGTGGAGAGTATTTTTGGCAACAACCATCATCATTGACAACCGCGATAAAAGAAGTATAGCCAATAATAGCCAGAAAACTATGCTACCTATGCGTCTCGCAGATCTAGGACTTTTGAATGAGTTATCCTGGTGTTATTTGCATTAGTTGTTCAAGGTTTGAGTGGTACCTTCATTCCTGACCGCTGCGTAAAGTGAAACCGCGACGGGCGACGTTCTCTAGGTGAAACGTGCGCAATAATGGCCTTCTCTATAGTTCATAGCATCCTAACTAGAGAAGGCGATGGTGCAATGGACGGCATTCTGGCAGCGACTAGTGCAGTGAATGATGTGAAACCAAGTGTTGAAGGCTTGGTTGAAGAAAATGATTATGCGAATGAAGTTGCGGTAGACGTGATTCCTACTGTTGATCACGGACATTATGCGAACGATGTTACGACGGACGTGAAGCCGAACATTGACCATGGGCATTATGCGAATGAATATGCGTCGGACGTGAAGCCGAGTGTTGATCACGAACATTATGCGAAGGAAGTTACGGTGGACTTGAAGCCGTTAGTTGATCACGGACATTATTCGAATGAAGTTATCGCATTGGTGGACAACAAGCCGAGTGATGATCATGGGCTCCATGGGAATGAAGTTACGGAGGACGTGGATCCGTGTGTTGATCACGGACACTATGCCAATGAAGTTACAGTGGACTTGAAGCCGATCGTTGATCACAGGCATAATGCGAATGAAGTTTTGGCATTAGTAGACGAGAAGCCGAGTGTTGATGATGGACATGATGCGAATACAGTTACTCTCTGTGAAGGTAACGTACACCTTATTTGGTTATCTTTGGCACGAATATAATAAACTGAGGAGTGCCTCAAATCTTTTCAGCCGATGCGGTGATTGTTTCATTAGGCTCAGGATTATTGCAGTCGCGTTATAGCAGTGAAATTCAAGAAAGTGTCCAATCAATGCATAATATGTAGTCGTCCTGTTTGTTTCATACTAAATGTTTCTCATATTTTATTTAGTGCCTTTCCTCTGCTCGGGGATATAGATGCTTTTATGCAATGAACTAATAATTAGTTAAATGGGTTAGTGTGGGAACATGCGTTCAATATCGGCGGCAGTGGTCGCATTTCGGTGTGGACGAAATACGACAGGCGCATGTACTTAAACATAGGTCCTCAGTAGAGGGCTCTAGCTAGTCTGAATTTCCTAAGCTATTCTGAATTTCTTGAGCTAGTCTGAATTTCCTGAGCCGCGTAAAACTAAATATTATATTCTTTACAGAGACACATTTTCCTATTTTGGTGTAGTAATATTCAAGTTTGGTGGTACTTGCATCGATTAAGTATCTGTGCTTAGGTAGATCGCAATTTGTATGAGGCATGTTCTGAATCAATGTACTGCTTTGTTAAAGTAACACATTTGCAATGGTGAAGGTTATCGTATACACTTATTTATAAGTGCAGCAACTCTTGTTATTTTGCTGCTCAAGTCTAGTTATATGTATGTTGTGGGATCTATGATTTGCATTGCCTTGCTGTGCTTCCTGTGGCTATGCAGGTTCCGTTTCTGTGAAATCCCGTGGCCAGTACCAAATGCTTGTGTGTGTAGAAGATGGACTGCATTCCTGCCGGCAGTGTGCCTATACGACCACGGATAAAGGACACATGAATGTGCACCTTCGCCGGCACACAGGGGAGCGTCCCTTCCAGTGTCACCTTTGCCCGGCTACTTTTGTGGTGAAAGTCCGCCTCACAGAGCACATTCGCACCCATACCGGGGAGCGTCCTTTCTCCTGCACCCAGTGCAATGTGTCCTTTTCAGTGAAACAGAGCATGAAGAAACACTTGCGCACCCACACAGGAGAGCGTCCTTTCTCCTGTCTCTTCTGCAATGCATCATTTTCACGAAAGCATGACCTCAGGGGACACGTACGCACCCACACTGGAGAGCGCCCATTTTCCTGTGACCAATGTGACGCAGCCTTTGGGCTGAGCCACACCCTCAAGAAGCACATGCGCACCCACACCGGTGAACGTCCCTTTTCCTGTGACCACTGTGATGCCTCTTTTTCCCAGAAAAGCCACCTCAAGAAACACATGCGCATCCACACGGGAGAGCGCCCTTTCTCTTGTGTTCACTGTGATGCATCCTTTAGACGGAAAATCAACCTCACAGACCACATACATGCCCACACAGGAGAGCGTCCATATTCTTGTACCCATTGCAATGCATCTTTTTCAAAGAAAAGTGCCCTCAGTCGCCACATCTCCGGACTTCATCCCAATGAAGCCCAGAAGGGCAGGGGTGCCAGTGTTTCTAATGTGGAGGTTACACAACTGATTCGTTCTGCTAAAAGGTGATCTTTTATGAAAACCTTTACTGAATTTTGTCGCAACTTTGGGACATACCGGAAAACTTTGACCAAGCAATTCACGAAAAGTGTGCCGCCTTTAACGCCGGTTGTGAAGTAGTCACAAAGAAGGTAGCTTTTAGCAGGAAAAATCTAGCAAAGCCTTGTGCAAAGAATTTAATGCTTAAACCAGGTGTTATGTAGCTGATAGTGGAAAGCACGATGCATGCGCAACATCTCTCACTTCATTTTTGATCCCCTGAGTGACGCAAGTTCAGTCTTGTTATTTTGTGTGTGTATGCATTCAAGCGGTAGCAGATGACCATTATGAAGTTCTGAATGCAGAAAGTTCCGAGCACCATAACTGCTAGGACACCATGGGGGGGGGGTCAAGGTCCTTTTAGTGTTGAAAAGTACAGAGTTTGCTCAAAAAGGTAATTGTACACGTGATTAGATCACCTTCTTTTGCAGATTTTTTCCTGTAAACTATTGATTGCTACTTTAATCAAAGAAATAAAATTAGAAAGTTTGGATTTGTCTGTGCATAACTAATTAAGTAGAATAAGCATGAAACACATGAATAAAAATACCAAGAATGAAATAAGACATGTATCAGATATAACTGTTCTTGATTTTGTTTTGTTGTGCTTTTAGTTTTGTAGTGGTGAGTTGATGTTTCCTGAGTGATGTTTGGATGTCTAAATTCATAGTCTACAAAAAAAAAAAAAGTAATCATGCTGATGTAACACTGGCATAGCCAATGGGTCAGAGGTGGGCATTTATATTTGTCAAAGTTTCTAAATAGTGGATGTGTATATGTAGGGTCTATCACAAAAAAGATGCGCACTTTCTGAGAAAAAAATTTATTTATTTATTTCTCCTGTACCAATGGTTGAAATTCTTCCATCAGAAAAACTAAGTGCACCAAATAAAGGCCTGAAAGAAAATGATGTTTTGGCTTCTATACGGATGTCATGTTCACAATGGTTGGTGAACAAGGCTTCTATGGGAAAGTCGGAAAGTTTTTTTGTCATTTTTTTCCATAATTAGCATCATCCTAACATTATAAGTTTTTATCGAACTCTTGTTTTTAAATTTCAATTCAATTTTCAATTTCAATTTTCAAAATTGGTTTTATTGTTTTCTTGTACAAGACACAAGAAACAAAAGGATGTTGGGGCTAAAGGCATTTAGCCTGACAGAAGACCCAACACCCTTGTACACAATTCGTACATCAAAAAAAATTAAAATAAAAAACAGCTTTTGCAGCATCCAGACTTTCATGAAACAAAAGAAGCAACAGAGCAAAGAATGCCTGACAAAAGTATCATGTTACATTGAATCTGACTGATTATACAAATCTTGAAACATACTTACTACATAACATACTTAAATAACAATCACTCAGGAAAGAATCAGGACTAGAACATTAGAGACATGTGATACATACCATTATATTTTATAGTTAATAAAATACATGCAGTACAAGATTTCCATGGCCCGACTACTACCATTGCTAACATCAGTATTTTTTAGGATCCATCAAAAAGTATGTTTTCCTGTATTAGCACTTCTTTAACTTGTACCTTAAATGCTTTTTCTGTACAGTCAAAATTAAACTTATGTTCTAATTTGTTTAATATGCAAGTTGTTTGATGGGTAAAAGTTTGTTTACCATAATTTGTCTTGGTTTGTTGTGGACAGCGCAAGATTTGGCGGATCGGATAAGTGTGTTGTCTAGCTCCTTCGTTGGGCTCATACAGTTTTCTGCTGTATATGATTTGCAACATTTTCTTATAATAGACTTGATCGGCTGGAAACATATGATATTTTTGAAATAAAGGTGCTGTCCTCAAGTTTGCGTAATTTCCTTGGGGTTTGCAGTATATGCGGAGAACCCTTTTTTGTAGAAGTTCAAGTTTCTTGTAGTTAGTTTTGGTAGTTGTTCCCTACACCAGAGCTACATAGCACAGCTTAGAATAAAAAAGGCAATTGTATAGCTGTTGTTTCAGCCATAGGGGAATCAGTTTAGAAATTCTGTACATAATACCAAAGCTTTTTGATAAGTCTACACATACTTGGCTAATATGCGCATTTCAGCTTAACTCTTCATTAAACGTCACTCCAAGAAACTTCTGGTCTGTCACTTGCTGCAAATTCATTAATTACTCTCTCCGTGCATCAGTACAATTATGGAGAGATGTCTGCCATGCGTGTAAGACACCGCGAAAGTCCGCGGGACGAAAGTCACTGAAGAACATTGTAATCTGCTTTTGGATGTTTTCCACGTTCTTACAAAGCTTTACTCTCAGCTCTTTCAAAAGTCGGGAAAACAAACAAACAACAGCAAAAAAAAAGTGCCCACGGGGAGTACTCAAGTAAACTCATCGCAGAGTGTTGGAGGTATCACGTTAATGTTGTTTAGTTGGGTATGGTTTGGGGATGATTAATTTTTATACTTCATTTTTTTACTATTATTTTTTGTTGATTGAAGGAGAAGCGTTCAACGAGTGGTGTGATGTTGGTTTGAGTGTCACTATTGGTTAAAGGTACTGTTGCTTCCATCGCATCAACTATATTTAAGCAAAGCGTCAAGTCAAGCGAAAGCCAAGTAAAGACACCCTCGATTGAATTCCGAACGCGCTCTCAGCGCTTATATATACATACTGCCTGCATTTGAGACAAGAGTGTACAGGAAAGGGGTCCACAGCCCCACTGCGCATGCTAGGCTTGCTGAACGCCCGGTGTGTCTTATCCTTTATTCTAGAGCGACAATTCTGCGGGTGTCTTCCTGGGCCAGCATGAGACGCGAGCATGCGCAATGGGGGTGTGGACGGCGCCGCCAATGCGCGATCTGCTACATCGTGTGACTGAAAAAAGCTTTGCATTTGAAAAATGTACGGGACCAAGTCGGGGACTGTAAGGGACAAACTATGCGCAGGAGGGTTTGCTGCAGCCAAGGAAGTTGGCAATGATGAAATACAGGTAGCTAGGGGCGTTGTCATGGTGGAGCTTGACCATCTCTTTGATGCCAGCCCTCACACGCGACACCCGATTTTTCAGTCTTGAGCACTTCCAGGTAAAAGTCCGAGTTAACAGTTTAATACTGTAGTACAAACTCAAAATGGGTGATTCTTGGGGTGTTCAAGATGGCAATGAGTATTGTTTTGATGCGACACTCGTTCATGCATGCTTTCTAGGGCGAATTGTTGGGTATCCAGAATGTAATTCGTCGGAGACCTCCTCCCAGCCTTCCTTAAATGCCTTGTGCCACCTCCCAAGCTGTAAGCTTAAAATGCAGTAATTCTTCAAGGCCTCTTGAAGCATCTGGATTGTGTCAGTTAGATTCTTTTCAAGCTTCACGTAAAACTTGATAGCGTATTGCTGTTCAATCAAATGCTCCGTCATGCCATGTTAAATGGTAAAAAAATGAGTTTGACTCAGACGCATGTCTTTCTGCTCGCACTGCCAGGAGTATACTAGGGACTGACTGTGCAAGAAGGCCAGACACCCCAACACATTGCCCGACCAATTTTACCACACTTGCTAAGGTTTAGGCTTGGGGTATGTAGTTGGTTCATACTTACTACAGAGAAAATAAAGCACGGAATTGCCACAGCACACAAGATAAAGAAAGAAGTCAAGTGTTGCCTTCTTTATACTTTATCCTGTCAGAATTTGGCAGTCTTTTTTCTTTGTTATTTTCCACATTGCCATGGACAGTTGTTTGATTGATAGATTGATATGTGGGGTTTAACATCCCAAAACCACCATATGATTATGAGAGACGCCGTAGCAGAGGGCTCTGGAAATTTTGACCACTTGGATGAATAGTTGTGTCAGAATAAAATCATGGGCATTACTTTCATAGTGGACTCAGTATACACGCACACAAATATTCACGCACATACATCAAGCTTGGTTTAACCCACCTGAAAAAATTTCTGCCTACACCATTGTAATGTAAATAAATATACTGAAAGCTTTTATGCTGATCATCGAAAGTGGCATTCATTTGCACCACAATTATGAAAAGCATTCATGCTGATTGCTGAAACAAAATGGAGCATGGTGCAACAGGCATTGAAGATGAAGTTGTGGTGACGTAAGTTGTGAGATGTTTCTTGTGAGCGAGCGTGTTACGAAGCAACACTAAAGAACTAGAATCAGGAGGCAATGCTATGTTTTTGTTGTATGTACACAAAACCTGTATATCACAGCATGGGACCGATGACGATACCATACACAACACATTCACCGTGCGCTGACCCCGAATTTAACATTCCGCGCTTTTTTTTTTCTTTCCTTCTTTTCTCTCTCCTTTTTTTTTTCTGATAACGATTTCCCAGCACTACACTGCCAACAGGAGAGGCCACCGACGCCTTAACAACTTCATGAGTTCGTGAGGCCCTGGTGTATGGGGTGTACCATACATACCATACACTGGGGCACCTTCGCAGCCATATCACAGACCACATATGTCATATTCAATCTTGGGACACGATCTTGCACGCCTATATAAGAAAGTGTGCAAAGCTGTAATAAATATGACTACTTGCAATAGAGGTACGACTGTTCGCTTACCGAAAAATACCTGAGATATGATTTCCGAGAAAACAAAAATGGTTCGAAATGGGCACAACTTAAGATGACAAGGAGGGATAAAATTCTCAATATTTGCGGCCAGCTCCATCATGTATCCTTATACTGCGTGTCTTTTCTCAAGCGACAACACACTCACACACACACACACACACACACACACACACACACACACACATATATATATATATATATATATATATATATATATATATATATATATATATATATATATATATATATATATATATATATATATATATATATATATATATATATATATATATATATATATATATATATATATATATATGCACTATTGTCTGTTACATCTCATTATTATTAACCGCATGAGTAGCTGAAAGAAAGTTCCATCCCAGGATGATTTCATGAGACGAATGCAGAAGGACGACAAATTCAACGATGTAAAGCACTCCTTTAATCACAACACGAGCAGTGCATGTGGCAGAAGGTTGGACCTGTTGCAAACTCGCTGTGCGTAAAGAAATTTCAACCAGTGGAGTCGTCACTTTGTTCAGTTTGCGGCATAACACTTCACTGATTATACAAATAGCGGCACCTGTGTCGACAAGAGCAGTTGTGGAGAAACCGTCCACAAAAACGGCAATCTCGTTAGGGGGCAAAAGATGAGGCCTTGGAAATTTCATCGGTGGTGCAGCTCTTGCCTCAGGAACTGCAACAGCTAGTTTTCCTCCTGGGCATGGTTGGAACGGCGAAGCATGGGGGAAAGAGACTGAAGACGGGGTGAAGGAGATCGACGTCGGCTGAAGTCTGGTCGACGTGAGCGGAGGTCATGTGAATCGGGCGTCACATGCGATTCTGATTGCCGAGGTATGTTGCCAGAATGCTGAACATCATTAAAATAGAATCCACGGCGACGACAGTAACGCGCGACATGTCCTGAAATACCAATGTTGTAGCAGATGGGCCGGTTATCCGGAGTATGCCAAGAGTTTACTGGTGCTCGAGGTGGTAGAAAGGGCCGATTTACTGGATAAACCAAAACTGGGGACCTGTAGTAGTTGGTGGCTGGACCGTATGAAGGGAGCGGCGGTTCGGCAGGAGGTCGGCGGACGGCTTCCGCATAAGTCAGCGATGCAGCCACTGATATTGGGGACGCGGGCGAAGGGAGAGCCTCGGCAACTTGCGTCTGAATAGCACAGCGAAGTGAGTGGTCCAGTGTTGTGGGGGTCTCGTTGATGGTGGCGACAAGAAAGAGCTGTCGAGCAACTTCCTTCCGGATGTACTGTTGAATTTGAGGCATTAACACGCTGTAGCCGGGGCCACTGCTTTTGCACTCCAAAGCCGAAATATAAGCTGTTTCCGTATTAGCGCGACGTGTAGAAATTCGTAGCTTGCGCAGCTCATCGAAACTTTGACATAGCTGAATCACGGCAGTGACGGTCTGTGATCTTTGGCGACAAGCATATGAAAAGCGTCGTCATCAATGCCTTTACATATATTCTTTATTCTGTCAGCCTCCTTCATCCTCGCATCAACTCGCCTACAGAGGCTGATCACATCCTCAATGTAGCTCGTGAAGCTCTCACCAATTCGCTGAAATCGTCCCCGCAGGCCCAGTTCAGCACGAAGCTTACGCATGGCTGGACGACCGAAAAACGAGGTGACGGCCTCTTTGAAAACCGACCAGGTGGGGATGTCGGCTTGGTGGTTGGTGAACCACAGGTTGGCCAAATCCGTCAAGTAGAAGATGACATGAGTCAGCTTCGCTGGGTCATCCCACTTGTTAATCGCGCTGGCATGCTCGTAATCTGCTAGCCAGTCCTCGACATCTTGATCTTCAGCGCCGTTGTATACTGGTGGGTCACGCAGACAAAGTACACCAGAACACATGACAGGTGGCAGCGTGGAAGAGCCTTGTGGGGGATCGACGCGCTCGGTCATCGCGGACTGAGATGGTAGCTTACGGCTGCCGAGCTCCAGGACGTTACCCAGCACGTTTCCATCAAATGCAACGAGCAAGGTTGCGTAAAAACACAGGTTATTATTCGAGAAACGTTAGCCGCAACATGCTGGTACAGGCAGGAACCCGGCAAACACGAGCCACACATGGACGTCAACGTCTTCTTTCACGCTGGCACAGAGCTGGCGCCACTATGCTTCGGTACAATATATATGTGTGTGTGCGTGTGTGTGTGTGGTTTTACAGCATCAGTATCAGGACTAGACACTTTAAAGCAGCGCTGCGGTGCTAATAATTCGTGCGGCATGCTTTTCCAATGTCAGGGCCAGGCTCAATCTGCATTTCTCTAAAAATATCAAATGTGCTTCTGTTATTGTTAAGAACAAGGACCCGTTGTCTCTACTCTAAACGGCGATGTTTACTCTGTCAGTGCTAGCTTCGCCTTCTTGCTTAGTTCGTATTCTCCGAGTCTCTCGCGCCTCTTCACAAGCCCCTGTACCACTTCTTTATTTTTAACAGCCATAATTGAAATGACATACAAATGTACAATGTCTTCCTTTATGAAAGGGAACACGTGAGCGCGTGGCCTGCATTCTCTGGCGACTGCCTACAGGACCACAAGACAACACCTAGTACTTTTCGACAATCAACAGACCGCAAAAGAAAAGACGTAGGCGTTTGGCGTCATATAATGGCCCTTGGGGCCATACTCAAATTAAGGATGTTAATGTTTATATAAACCTGCTTGAGTAAAATCACAGTTTTTCACAAAATGATGTTATGTGATGATGAAGTGGTGCGCGTGCATGAAACTCTATGCCGCGTGTACAGTGGCTTAGCATTAATAAAAATACAGGCGTACAAATATCCCTAGCTAAAGGCAAATGAAAAAAAAAAAAAACGATTGAGGAGGATGTGTGAGACGACCTACTACAAAAAAGAGAGAGAGAGAGTGGGGGTGGGGATCCATACACTACGCGACCCTCTCATCTTTCAAGCGCCGCTCACGGCCGCCTGGTGAACAGGTAGGTGTTCTCTGGCCCGGTCCAGGTGGCCGTGGGCCGTAGACAAGCACTGCAAGATACCGTAGAGGGCCGTTGAAGAGAGAACGACAGGGTACATCATTTAACAAAGCAATTGATTAAGTTTGATGGTTCACACAGACTCACAAACGTGTCCTTGAGCGTGAACAACACCTGTACCATGTTACGCGTTGACGATGCAAGTAGATCATTATGACATCTTGAGCACTTGATATGATTGCTGTTTTTAGTAACCAACAAAATACTACTCATTAAACTAATCCGTACACAAAGCACTTACAGTTTTGGTTTCGTAATTGACCAGTGGTCTGTTTACGTGCATCTTTGCCATAAAAGTGTATCCACAGAATCTCTGTTCACCAAAAATGACAAGAATTCAACATAAGCAAACACCAAAAACGACATTTTTTGAAAAAAAATTTCTTTCATTTAGTTAGCTTGATACGTGAAAACCCAGTAGAGAGTATTTTTGGCAACATCCATCATCATTGACAACCGCGAAAAAAGAAATATAGCCAATAATAGCCAGAAAACTATGCTACCTATGCGTCTCGCAGATCTGGGACTTTTGAATGTGTTATCCTGGTGTTATTTGCATTAGTTGTTCAAGGTTTGAGTGGTAACTTCATTCCTGACCGCTGCGTAAAGTGAAACCGCGACGGGCGACGTCCTCTAGGTGAAACTTGCGCAATAATGGCCTTCTCTATAGTTCATAGCCTCCTAACTAAAGAAGGCGATGGTGCAATGGACGGCATTCTGGCAGCGACTAGTGCAGTGAATGATGTGAAACCGAGTGTTGAAGGCTTGGTTGACGAAAATCATTATGCGAATGAAGTTGCGGTAGACGTGATTCCTACTGTTGATCACGGACATTATGCGAACGATGTTACGACGGACGTGAAGCCGAACATTGACCATGGGCATTATGCGAATGAATATGCGTCGGACGTGAAGCCGAGTGTTGATCACGAACATTATGCGAAGGAAGTTACGGTGGACTTAAAGCCGTTAGTTAATCACGGACATTATTCGAATGAAGTTATCGCATTGGTGTACAACAAGCCGAGTGTTGATCATGGGCTCTATGGGAATGAAGTTACGGAGGACGTGGATCCGTGTGTTGATCACGGACACTATGCCAATGAAGTTACAGTGGACTTGAAGCCGATTGTTGATCACAGGCATAATGCGAATGAAGGTATGGCTTTGGTGGACGAAAAGGCGAGTGTTGATGATGGACATGAATTGAATACAGTTACTCTCTGTGAAGGTAACGTACTTCTTATTTGGTTATCTTTGGCATGAATATAATAAACCGAGGAGTTCCTCTTTGTTTTCATCTGCTCGGTTATATAGAGACTTGTACTTGAAACACTAATAATTAGTTTGATGGGTTAGTGTGCGAACGTGCGTTCTAGATCGGCAGCAGTGGTCGCATTTTGGTGTAGGCGAAATACTAAAAGCGAATATCTATTTAGACATAGTTCCTCGGTGTAGGGGTGTAGCTAGTGCGAATGTCCTAAGCTATTCCGAATTTCGTGAGCCGCGTAAAACTAAATATTATATTCTTTACAGAGACACATTTTCCTATTTTGGTGCACTGACATTCAAATTTGGTGGTACTTGCATCGATTAAGTATCTGTGCATAGACAGACGGCAACTTGTATGAGGCATGTTCTGAATCAATGTACTGGTGTGTTAAAGTAACACATTCGCAATGGTGAAGGTCATCAGACACACTTATTTATAAGTGCAGCAACTCTTGTTATTTTGCTGCTCAAGTCTAGTTATATGTATGTTGTGGGATATATAATTTGCATTGCCTTGCTGTGCTTCCTGTGGCTATGCAGGTTCCGTTTCTGTGAAATCCCGTGACCAGTACCATTTGCTTGTGTGTGTAGAAGATGGACTGCATTCCTGCCGGCAGTGTGCCTATACGACCACGGATAAAGGACACATGAATGTGCACCTTCGCCAACACACAGGGGAGCGTCCCTTCCAGTGTCACCTTTGCCCGGCTACTTTTGTTGTGAAAGTCCGCCTCACAGAGCACATTCGCACCCATACCGGGGAGCGTCCTTTCTCCTGCACCCAGTGCAATGCGTCCTTTTCAGTGAAATGGAGCCTGACGAAACACTTGCCCACCCACACAGGAGAGCGTCCCTTTTGCTGTGTTAAATCCTTTTCAAAGAAATGTAACCTGAAGCAGCACATGTGCACCCATGCAGGAGAGCGTCCTTTCTCCTGTCTCTTCTGCAATGCATCATTTTTTTGAAAGCCTGACCTCAGGGGACACGTAGTACGCACCCACACTGGAGAGCGTTTTCCTGTGACCAATGTGACGCAGCCTTTGGGCTGAGCCACACCCTCAAGCAGCACATGCGCACCCACACCGGCGAACGTCCTTTTAACTGTGGCCACTGTGATGCCTCTTTTTCCCATAGATGCAACCTCAAGCAACATATGCGAACCCACACAGGAGAGCGGCCTTACTCATGTGTTCATTGTGATGCATCTTTTAAACGGAAAACCAGCCTCAAAGACCACATACATTCCCACACAGGAGAGCGTCCGTATTCCTGTAGCCATTGCAATGCAACTTTTTCACAGAGAAGTGTTCTCCGTCGCCACATCTCCAGACTTCATCCCAATGAAGCCCAGAAGGGCAGGGGTGCCAGTATTTCTAATGTAGAGGTTACACAACTGATCAATTCTGCTAAAAGGTGATCTTTTATGAAACCCTTTAATGAAGTGTGTCACGAATTTGGGATATACCGGAAAACTCTGACCAAGCAAGTCACAAAAGTGTGCTGCCTTTAACGTCGTTTGTGAAGTACTCACCAGGAAGGTAGCTTTCAGCAGGAAAAATCTAGCACAGCCTTGTGTAAAGAATTTAATGCCTAAACCAGGTGTTATGTAGCTGATAGTGGAAAGCATGGTGCATGCGCAATGTCTCTCACTTCATTTTTTCTCGCCTGAGTGATGCAAGTTCAGTCTTGTTATTTTGTGTGTGTACGCATGCAAGCGGTGTGTGTATTTTGTGTGTGTATGCATGCAAGCATGTCGCGAATACATGTCATCAATTTGCGACATGCCTAAAAGTATGCATTAAAGTTGAGTTTTAGATGATTTAGCTGCAGAATGAATGCAAGGTTGCTATGCAGAGCTGAAAATAAGCAAACAAATTTTTCTTTGGCAGTGTCATAGTTCAGGAATTAAAAGGCTAAGGTGCCTCAAAAAGTTTTTACATTCCTTGGCTGTTGAGTTTAGAGAAAAGTGATTATCCCTAGGAATTTATCAAGTGCCTTCAGATGACATTCCTGCCTCCATTCAAAATGCGGCTGTCACTGCCCAGATTTGATTCCGCAACCTTTGGTCGAGCGACATAACTGCTGGGACATCATGGCGGGTCGAGTTTTCTTCAGTAATAAGAAGTATAGAGTTTAATCAAAAAGGCAATTCTACATTTGATTAGATCACCTTCTCTTGCAGAGTTTTTTTCTGTAAACTTTTGATTGCTACTTCAATCCAAGAAATAAAATTAGAAAGTCTGGATTAGCTTGTGCATAACTCATTATTAAGAATAAGTATTTATTGGTTAAAGTATTTTAAGAATTTACAAATTATTTTAAGTAAATTAGGTATTTTAAGTATTTTATAAGAATTAAGTCGACAAAATTATTACTAAAGACGTTATAGAACCATCATCTAGCCCCTGGGCCTCCTCGTCGTGCACGTTGTAAAGAAGGATGGCAGCTGGCGCTTTTGCGTGGACTATCACCATTTAAACAATGTCACTCATGAAGATGTCTACCCTTTGCCTCGGATTGATGACGCCCTCGATTGCCTCCATGGTGCTCAATACTTTTCGTCTATCGCCCTTCGGTCTGGCTATTGGCAAATTTTCGTCGACCCCATGGATCGTGAAAAAACCGCTTTTGTCATGCCCGACGACCTCTACCAGTTCAAAGTGATGCTGTTCGGACTATGTAATGCGCCGGCAACTGTCGAGAGCATGATGGATTCTTTTCGCCGAGGATATAAGTGCTCCATCTGCCTATGTTACTTAGTCGATGTCATCGTCTTTTCAATCAAATTTGACAGCCAAATCACACGTCTACCATTCGTTTTGGATGTTTTTCGAAGAGCCGCTCTCGAGCTCAATTTTGCAAAATGCCCTTTCGAGCATCGCCAAATCACCATACTCTGCCACCTTGTCAGTACCGCTGGTGTTCAACCAGATCCCGACTAGGTGGGAGCAGTACAAGAATTTCCTGAACCATGTTCAACTAAGGAAATCCAAAGTTTTGTAGGGCTATGTTCCTATTTCCTCGATTTGTCCGCAACTTCGCCGACATCGCTCGACCGCTTACTGATCTCTTAAAGAAGGACGTTCCCTTCGCATGGGGCATACAGCAAGCGGACGTCTTTTCGGCTCTTACCCATCTGCTGACTAAGCCACCAATACTCGCCGATTACGACCCTGCATCACCTACAGAGCTTCGGATCGATAACAGTGGCCATGGAATTGGGGCGGTCCTCAGCTAACGACAGCACGGGAAGGACCGCATAATTGCTTACGCCAGTCGTGAAGCTACAGGTGAAGACCTGTAGCTTTAGTGTGGGCCGTGAAAAAATTCAGGCCTTACCTGTATGGCCGAACTTTTTCCGTTGTTACTGATTATCGCGCCGGCTCTGACCATCATGCTGGCTCCCATCGCTAAAGGACCCATCTGGACGTCACGGCCGCTGGGTGCTGCGCCTGCAAGAATACTTGTTCGTGGTCCACTACAAGTCGAGACGCCTGAACACAGACGCAGACTGTTTGTCACGTCATCCGTTTGAAACGCCCGACTTGACAGATCTTGAATCGGACCCCTGCGTGCTCTCTATCCACGCTTTAGTCGATATCTCCACCAAACAACGACGTGACCCATCGTTACTCTCCATCATCGAGCGTCTGACCTCTGTTCCAACAGACCCTTCTGTTCACCTGTTCGAACTGCACAACATTCTGTACTGTCGCGGCTTCAATGCCGATGGCCCGGAATTACTACTCGTGCATCGATCTGGGTACCAGCGTTCTCTAACAACTACACGACGTACCTACAGCCGGTCACCTAGGCGTCTCTCGTACCTAGGATCGTGTACGGCGTCACTTTTTCTGGGCTGTACTGTATCGTTCTGTGGTTCCCTACGTCACTGCTTGCGACCGCCGCAAGTGCCCCTCTGTGCTATCGTCTGGCTACCTACAGCCCATTGACATAACGATGGAACCATTCTTCCGTGTTGACCTTGAACTGATGGGCCCGTTTCCTACGTCCACCTCCGGAAGTAAGTGGGTTGCAGTTGCCACAAATTACGCCACACGCTTTGCCATCACTAAAGCAGTGCCGACAAGATTTTCCACCGACGTCGCTGACTTTCTCTTGTATGAAGTCATTCTTCATCACGACGCTCCGCGGCAGCAGCTTACTGATCGAAGAAGGTACTTCCTTTCACGTGTTGTGGATGACATTCTCCGTGCCTGCTTCACTGAGCACAATAAGCTTACCAACGCTTATCATCCACTGACAAATGGATTGACCGAGCGTCTGAACCGAACGCTGACGCAGATGCTGTCAATGTACGTTTCACCAGATCACCGTGACTCGGACAAAGCACTCCCGTTTGTCACTTTTGCGCACAACTATTCACAGCACGGCAGAGCTAGTTATTCGCTGTTTTATTTGCTATTTGGCCGACATCCAGTGTTACCATTTGACGGCTGCCCCCTTGTCTACTGAGTATGCCAGCGATGTTGTTTCTTGAGCCCATGCAGCAGCCAGCTTGCACATGATCAGCTGCACTTGTCGCAAGAGCACCAAAAAGACCATTATGACAGTTGCCACCAAAGCGTGCACTTCTCGCCGGGGTCTCTGGTACTTCTCTGGACACCAAACCGCCAAGTCGACTTATCAGAGAAGCTACTACCACACTACCATGGCCCCTACAAAGTGTTACGACAATTCAGTGACGTGAGCTACAAGATCACACCCCTAAACAATGCCTCTGTGACCCCCTCACTCCAGACGGACGTTGTCCACGTTTCCAGACAAACCGTATCACCCTGATAGTTCGTCGCCGTACCAAGCGCCGTGACAGTGCTTCCGCCACGGGAGAGTGATGTTACGGTGCATAATTGACAGGAGCAAGTGTGGCACTTTGTGAAGATGACGAAGGCGCCTGTGCGTTAGGCGCTTGCACGAAAGGCAACTCTGCCATCTTGTCTGGCTGCCGATTTTCTATGGACGTTATACTATAAGCCTAGATCTCGCCCCATCACAATATAAACACTAATCTTCGTGAAACGCCAAATGTGGTTACAGTGCTGCCTACCCAGTTTTATAAACATCACATATGTACTCCTTTGATACAGCAGTCACGTCGAGTTAATGTCGATTGTGGTTAGTTACCATACACTGAAGTTGATTTATGTAGTACTGTCTAGGGCCAGCATCCTTGCGAGCATCAGCGCTTTGAAGCATGTTTGAAGCGTGTGTTGCTAATACGTATGTTCCTGTTGGCATCGTTGCACAAGTGCGAACAACTGGTTATGTAAACATCTGGAACTCTTTAATGTATGTCTGTGCATGTAACATTCGTACGTATTCTAGCGCAATTTCATAAAGTGTCGCTGAATAAAAAAATTGCAACACGGTCATTTTCCCTCCGCATGTTTTGCATAAAGTCGATTCCCAGGTACGTGGGATCTGCCGAATTTTTTTTCTCTCTCTCTTTTTTTATGATAACCATTCCGCAGCACTACACTGCCAACAGGAGAGGCCCTGGTGTATGGGGTATACCATACATTGTTACATACATTGTCTTGCCCTTGTTAAGAAAAAGGACCCGTGGTCGCGATTCTAAACTACGATGTTTACAATGTCAGGGCTAGCTCCGCCTGCTTACTTTGTCCCTCTCCTTCTCTCAATCTATCGCGCCTCCCCCCAAGCCCCTGCTCCACTTCTTTATTTTTAACAGCCATCATTGAAATGACACACGTATGTACACTGTCGTCATTTATGAAAGGAAACAGGTGAGCGCGTGGCATGCGCTTTGTGGTGGCTGCCTACAAGACCATCAGCACTTAGCGGCCATCATCGACCGACAGCAAAGGAAAAGACGTCCGCTTTTGGCGTCACATAGAAACCTCCTTGAATTAGATCATACAGTTTCCCACGAAAATATTGTTAAATGTCACCGGTTGATGATGATGTGGTGCCGTTTCTATTATAATAGGGCGCCGCGCGTGTATGAAACTCTATGCCGCATGTATGAGAGACCAGCGCTGGATA